ACTCCTAATCTCCATAGATCCTGACTAAATTGGTGGAGTAAGGAAATCGGGGACAACTCCTAATCTCCATAGATCCTGACTAAATTGGTGGAGTAAGGAAATCGGGGACAACTCCTAATCTCCATAGATCCTGACTAAATTGGTGGAGTAAGGAAATCGGGGACAACTCCTAATCTCCATAGATCCTGACTAAATTGGTGGAGTAAGGAAATCGGGGACAACTCCTAATCTCCATAGATCCTGACTAAATTGGTGGAGTAAGGAAATCGGGGACAACTCCTAATCTCCATAGATCCTGACTAAATTGGTGGAGTAAGGAAATCGGGGACAACTCCTAATCTCCATAGATCCTGACTAAATTGGTGGAGTAAGGAAATCGGGGACAACTCCTAATCTCCATAGATCCTGACTAAATTGGTGGAGTAAGGAAATCGGGGACAACTCCTAATCTCCATAGATCCTGACTAAATTGGTGGAGTAAGGAAATCGGGGACAACTCCTAATCTCCATAGATCCTGACTAAATTGGTGGAGTAAGGAAATCGGGGACAACTCCTAATCTCCATAGATCCTGACTAAATTGGTGGAGTAAGGAAATCGTGATCAACTCCTAATCTCCATAGATCCTGACTAAATTGGTGGAGTAAGGAAATCGTGATCAACTCTTAATCTAAGTAGATCCTGACTAAATTGGTGAAGTAAGGAAATCGGGGATATTCAGGAATCTGTATGTATCCTGACTGTGATGACGCCGCGTGAAGTCATTTACTGTTCTTGTGGTAGTCGTATACAGTGATCAATTCACAATTGATTTTAAATGGTCCTTTTCAACTGTATTGCTAAAAACAACAGGTCCCATAATGTTAAACTTTAAGTATTTCCAGAAATGGGATGAGTCACATCAAAATTCTATAAGTACATTGGACTTGGGACTCGTATGTACATTTATCCCTGACTTCTATATCTGGGCAGTTTAATCTATATATAAAAGGATCGGTTGCCAATTAAGGATTGTGTTGGTTGAAAAATTACACCAAAATGATAAGATCTTGCTCGTTGGCGTTAAAAAGTTAAAGAAAAAATGGCAAGTTTTTATTTCTCTCTTCAAACTGTTCATTATGATGAAGGGTTTGAGGAAACCTCATCGATCCTCTCTTAGTTTTTTTTTGTATCCGAGAGTTCTTAGAGGAAACGTTCATCATTGCTTTCTGCAGTTTGTCCCAGTTTGAGTTCCTGTAGTTTTGGCCATTATATCTAGAATCTTTCCCAAGGCAAGTTGGCAAGTTTGTCACTAGACTTTATAAGCTCTTAAATGTAAAGGGTACCACCGCCCCTCTGGCCCCAGTGGGACCACACTCTCTGTTTACACAAAATTGAGTCCCCTGGCTAAATGACGCTCTGAACCAGATTTAGTTAAAATCCTGCCAATTGTACTGAAGAAGAAGGATTTTAAAGATTGACCTCAATTTTCCCTATTGTGCCCCTTCTCCTTCCCAAGAGTGGCCACACCCTCAGTTTATACAAAATTGAATTCCCCAATGATGCTCCAGGCCCAATTTAGCCATAATCCACTGAGCCCTGGAGCACGAAAGAATCTCAGACTTGTTTCATGATCCTGGGGGGGGGGGGGGGGGGGGGGGGGGGGGTGCGCTATGGGCAAGTTATCTGATCCCCCCTTCTATTATATTAGTTTACACAGGGGAGAACTAATAGCTAGTTGATTCTTTCTCCCACTCTGTGTTAGCAACTAGGGGGAAACTATAGGCTAGCTGATTCTTTCCCCCTATGTATTAGTATCTAGGGTGAAATAATTGGCTAGCTGATTCTTTTCCTCATCTTTAATAGTAACTGGAGGGGATGCTAGTGGCAAGTTAGCTAATCTCCCCCTCTAATATGGGTAGATGTCTGGTTAATGTAATCTTACATATATTATATATTTACACTGTTTTGCTATGCAATTTTCCTAAATATTTGACAACAAAAATCTTCAAAAAGAGAACAAGTACTTGCTGGGAAAAAGTGATAATATTCTTGAAATATCAAAATCCAAGATAACGCAGCCTCACAGTTGACCATATATATTGTACCTGCAAATAACCTTTCTACCCCCCTCTATTGACAAATACAGAAGGGGGAAAGAATCAGCTAGCCTATCGGTTCCCCACTATAAAATAAACAAGAGGCCCAGAGGGCCTGTATCCCTCACCTGAAATTGTTTAAAATAATTGGTATGAAGTAAAAATACAGCACTCCATGGTAGGTGCTGTAAGTACATATGAAATTTCAGAAAGATCCATCCAGTACTTAAGATATAGCGAGAACAAACTTCAAACAGAGCCCCACCCTATGCCCCATACCACCGTTTATACAAAATTGAGTCCCCTTGGCCCAAGGATGATCTGGACTAAATAAGGATAAAATTCTGTCATTCGTACAGAAGAAGGTATTTGAAGTATTTGCTATGTTTCCCCTATTGGGCCCTGCCCTTTTGCCCCCAGGGGAGCCAAACTCACTGTTTATACATGTACTAAATTGAGTCCCTTTTGCCCAAGATCCTCCAGACCAATTTGAGAAGAAATCGGGGCGATTATCCCTTAATCCCTACGGTAGAAGGAGGATTATAAAGGTTTTACCTCTATTTCTCCTATTGGCCCCCCCCCCCCCCTCTGCCCCCTTGGAGACCATACCAACTGCTAATACAAAATTGAGTCCCCTTGGCCCAAGGATGCTAAGAGGCCCAATGGGCCTGCATTGCTCACCTGGTATTAATCTCACTTGTAATCTTAAAAGTGGACTAAAATACAGCTACAGGCAGAATATCAGTGTTCGATTCATAAGAACCTATTAAAAGATTTAAACATATGGCGTGACCTTGAATGTCGAACAAGGACATCAGGTTGAAAGTGGATCAAGGTCATTCATTTAATTTAAATTGGTAGTCCTTCATCCCAGCATGCTACAGGCCTAATTTCAGTACCCTAGGCCTTTTGGTTATTCAGAAGTTGTTTGAAGATTTTAAAACATTTGACCCCTGTGACATTGAAAGCTGGTCAAGGTCATTCATTTGAACAAACTTGGTAGCCCTTCATCCCAGCATGCTACAGGCCTAATATCAGTACCCTGGGCCTTTTGGTTATTAAGAAGAAGTTGTTTAAAGTAAAAAGTTGACGCCGGACAGACGGACGACGCACCATGGCATAAGCTCACTTGCCCTTCGGGCAGATGAGCTAAAAATCAATTCCATGGGGGAAAGAATCTGCCTGCAAATAACCCTCCTGCTACCTCCCCAATCCACCCACAAATCAATGCCAAGGGAGTAGAGAACCAACCAGCCATTAGTTTCCCCTCCTTAAAACAAGAGGCCCAATGGGCCTGCATCGCTCACCTGTTATTAATCTAACACTTGTAATCCTAAGATTTCATAAGAACCTATTAAAAGATTTAAACATATTACGCCTCTGACCTTGATTGTTGAACAAGGAAATTAGGTTGAAAGTGGATCAAGGTCATTCATTTGAACAAACTTGGTAGCCCTTCATCCCAGCATGCTACAGGCCCAATATCAGCACCCTGGGCCTTTTGGTTATTGAGAAGAAGTTGTTGGAAGATTTTAACATATTTGACCCCTGTGACCTTGAAAGTGGGTCAAGGTCATTTATTTGAACAAACTTGGTAGCCCTTTATCACACTATGCTACAGGCCCAATATCAGTACCCTGGGCCTTTTGGTTATTGAGAAGAAATTGTTTGAAGATTTTAAAGACATCTGACCCCAGTAACCTTGAAAGTGGGTCAAGGTCATTCGTTTGAACAAACTTGCTAGACCTTCATCCCAGCATGCTACAGGCCCAATATCAGCACCCTGGGCCTTTTGGTTATTGAGAAGAAGTTGTTGGAAGATTTTAACATAATTGACCCCTGTGACCTTGAAAGTGGGTCAAGGTCATTTATTTGAACAAACTTGGTAGCCCTTGATCCCAGCATGCTACTGGCCAAATATCATCATCCTAGGCCTTTTGGTTCCTGAAAAGAAGTTGTTTAAAGTAAAAAGTTGACGCCGGACAGATGAGCTAAAAACAATATCAGGAGGAAAATATGCATGCTAATAGTTTGCCCCTCCCTAAAAATCAATATAAAAATAAAAATAAAGCGAGGGAAAATATCAGCTTGTTATTTCCACTGGGAGGGAAAAATCAGCTAGTTGGTGTTTTCCTCGGGGGGGAAAATCAGCTATCTAATTTCTTCCCCCGGAGAAAAAAACTATCTTGTGGGGGAATGAATCAGCCCGGGGAAACTTTCAGCAGAGGGGAAAGAAGTGGCTGTTACACCGGTACAAAATGTAATGTTTGATTTACATCCTACGTGCTGACATGTGCCCGAAACATGACAGCATGTAGGATGTAAATCAAACATTACATTTTGTACCGGATTCAGTGGTGTTGTTGCTCATCATTTCTATTTTCATTTGCTCTGCTTTCCCCGATGAGCACTGTTGAATACCATTAAGGTATCCACCCCAGGATCCCTACCGCCACTATGTAACTGACTTCCTTGCAGGGACGTTGGTTCTCCACCCCCCAGTTATTCAGTAGTGTGTATACTTTCCATTGATAGGTGAAATTTCTCAGGTTGAGTGATATATGAAATATACAATTTTGTCACATTTTACAGTTTAAACAATACAAATCACTCTTTCACCCAGCTGTCATAGCTTAACAAAGGGACCAGTCAGCTTTGAAATGTTGCTACACGTTTAATATGTACATTGTTTTTGTATAAAGTGGAACTTTGATATTACATATTTCCAAACTGACGACTCTTATTGAAGATATCCATTCATACGTTTTACTACAAATCTATACAAATAGAAACCTCTTAACTTATTTCATTCACCTCAAAGTAAGTAAAATCTTCATATAGTTAACAGATCACTCCATAGTAAATCATGCAGGAACTGTTTTCCTCTATCTGTTTCGTTTATAAGAAATAAGATCAAAGCATATTTATCCATCATTGTTGTATTTATTCATTAGACAACTTTTAAACATAAGAAAACAGCAAATCCTAACAAAATGTCTTTAAATATAGCAGACATAGCGGTATACATTAACAAGAAACACTCTTCACAACACAGGGTAAATGTGTAAACAGTAGTCTGTTGTGGGGGGACGTAGGCCACAGCTCTTATCTAACTGTCACAGCAAACGTGGTGTGTCTACATGCGTGTACCCTCAACTATACCTCAAAAAATAGGTAAATTTCATTTTCTTGAAGTTATAACATGCTTGCACGTCTTCTTATATTTCAGTACAAGCTAAAATTCAGGATCAAATCTTTTAAAATAACCATTTCAGAACCTTATATAAACGTTTTCCTGGAGACTTTGAAAAAAAAACACTGTCAAAAAGGCTAGTCTTGTGACAAATTCATGTGGAGGCAAGTTCTACCAATGGAAAGATCAATACAATTAAAAATCTCCAATCTATATTGCAAACATCAAAATAGCTTTACCTTTCTGTGAACAAAAGTTAAAAAAATTATTGGACATCACTAGTACTTTGCATAATCCTTTCCCTGTATAATGCACTGCTGACCCTGCCAAAGATTAAGCCTATTCTCCTCCTCAGATATAGGTGAGACTCACAGACACAGATAAGGAGATCAATAAATAGGACGGCTGTAGCTGATCACTGCTGACCCTGCCAAAGATTAAGTCTATTCTCCTCCTCAGATATAGGTGAGACTCACAGACACGGATAAGGAGATCAATAAATAGGACGGCTGTAGCTGATCATGTGAGTCATCAGATTAGTACCATACATATAAATAATACTGGACGGAAACATCAAAGAGTTCAGAATAAACATGATCACATGTAGTTAAGTTTCAATCAGACATGACTTACAGCTAGTATATCTTAACCTGTAGACCAGGGTACGCTTAGAAAACAGATGTCCCATCACAGACTACAGCCAGTAATAAAGATACTAGTACAAAAGTGATACTAGTGCTATGTAGGCATAGTGTTGTCATGCAGTAATTGATTGTCTTGTTAAATGCCCTCATAAGTGGATGTTTGAAGAGGACAATGGTCACTTGTAACACTTGGACAAAAGTAAGAAGTAGAGATTTAGTGATGTTACATTGTTAATGGACACTAATGATAAGCTCAGTTTTTGAGAGGGGATCAGTCACTTACTGTCAATAGACAGTAGTGATATAAGCTCAGTTTTTGAGAGGGGAGCAGTCACTTACTGTCAATAGACAGGGATATAAGCTCAGTTTTTTAGAGGGGAGCAGTCACTTACTGTCAATAGACAATGATATAAGCTCAGTTTTTGAGAGGGGAGCAGTCAATTACTGTCAATAGACAGTAGTGATATAAGCTCAGTTTTTTAGAGGGGAGCAGTCACTTACTGTCAATAGACAGTCGTGATATAAGCTAACTTTTTGAGAGGGGAGCAGTCCCTTACTGTCAATAGACAGTGATATAAGCTCAGTTTTTTAGAGGGGAGCAGTCACTTACTGTCAATAGACAGTGATATACGCTCAGTTTTTGAGAGGGGAGCAGTCACTTACTGTCAATAGACAGGGATATAAGCTCAGTTTTTTAGAGGGGAGCAGTCACTTACTGTCAATAGACAATGATATAAGCTCAGGTTTTGAGAGGGGAGCAGTCACTTACTGTCAATAGACAATGATATAAGCTCAGGTTTTGAGAGGGGAGCAGTCACTTACTGTCAATAGACAGTCGTGATATAAGCTAACTTTTTGAGAGGGGAGCAGTCCCTTACTGTCAATAGACAGTGATATAAGCTCAGTTTTTGAGAGGGGAGCAGTCAATTACTGTCAATAGACAGTAGTGATATAAGCTCAGATTTTGAGAGGGGAGCAGTCACTTACTGTCAATAGACAATGATATAAGCTCAGTTTTTGAGAGGGGAGCAGTTACTTACTGTCAATAGCCAGTGATATAAGCTCAGTTTTTGAGAGGGGATCAGTCACTTACTGTCAATAGACAGTAGTGATATAATCTAACTTTTTGAGAGGGGAGCAGTCACTTACTGTCAATAGACAATGATATAAGCTCAGTTTTTGAGAGGGGAGCAGTTACTTACTGTCAATAGCCAGTGATATAAGCTCAGTTTTTGAGAGGGGAGCAGTTACTTACTGTCAATAGCCAGTGATATAAGCTCAGTTTTTGAGAGGGGAGCAGTCCCTTACTGTCAATAGACAGTGATATAAGCTCAGTTTTTTAGAGGGGAGCAGTCACTTACTGTCAATAGACAATGATATAAGCTCAGGTTTTGAGAGGGGAGCAGTCACTTACTGTCAATAGACAGTAGTGATATATGTTGACATTTGGAGTGAAAACACTCATTGTCACAGGCACAAGTAATAAGTGGAGGCTTGGAGGAAGTTACCTACTATCAACAGACGCTAGTGACACCTATAGGCATACAGCAAAACAAAACCGAGTCGATGTGAACTTGTGATAATAAGGCAGATGCTGAATATGGATCTTCATGTATATATGGATCTCACTAAATCAGCACAGCCAACAAATAAATAGTACCATATGTACAATAAATATATAAGTAGGAATGGAAGTTTTACATCAGGTATTAAATAATAATACTATATACCTATTACACTCATCAACATTTATATATGGTAATTTAAATTAAATATCATTAATTCATATTCATATATACATAAATATCAGCATGCACCCCTAACACTCCACATTCTATCATATTTTCACCTTGCTCCACCTACACTCACCAGTGAACATTTACACCACCTACACTCTCCAGTGAACATTTACACCACCTACACTCTCCAGTGAACATTTACACCACCTACACTCTCCAGTGAACATTTACACCACCTACACTCTCCAGTGAACATGTACACCACCTACATACACCAGTAAACATTGACACCACCTACACTCACCAGTGAACATTTACACCATCTCCACTCTCCAGTAAACATTTACACCACCTACACTCTCCAGTGAACATGTACACCACCTTCACTCACCAGTGAACATTTACACCACCTACACTCTTCAGTGAACATGTCCACCACCTACACTCACCAGTGAACATTTACACCACCTACTCTCTCCAGTAAACATTTACACCACCTACACTCTCCAGTGAACATTTGCACCACCTACACTCTCCAGTGAACATTTACACCACGTACACTCTCCAGTAAACATGTACATCACCTACACTCTCTAGTGAACATTTACACCACCTACACTCTCCAGTGAACATTTGCACCACCTACACTCTCCAGTGAACATTTACACCACATACACTCTCCAGTAAACATGTACACCACCTACACTCTCCAGTGAACATGTACACCACCTACACTCTCCAGTGAACATTTACACCACATACACTCTCCAGTAAACATGTACATCACCTACACTCTCCAGTGAACATTTACACCACCTACACTCTCCAGTGAACATTTACACCACCCACACTCTCCAGTGAACATTTACACTACCTACACTCACCAGTGAACATTTACACCACCTACACTCTCCAGTGAACATTTACACCACCCACACTCTCCAGTGAACATGTACACCACCTACACTCACCAGTGAACATTGACACCACCTACACTCTCCAGTGAACATTTACACCACCCACACTCTCCAGTGAACATTAACACCACCTACACTCTCCAGTGAACATGTACACCACCTACACTCTCCAGTGAACATGTACACCACCTACACTCACCAGTGAACATTTACACCACCTACTCTCTCCAGTAAACATTTACACCACATACACTCTCCAGTAAACATGTACACCACCTACATACACCAGTAAACATTGACACCACCTACACTCACCAGTGAACATTTACACCATCTCCACTCTCCAGTAAACATGTACACCACCTACATAACCAGTAAACATTGACACCACCTACATACTGAGTCTCTCTAGTGAACATTTACACCAACTACACTCTCCAGTCATCATTTACACCACCTACACTCTCCAGTCATCATTTACACCACCTACACTCTCCATTGATTATTTACACCATCTATACTCTCCATTGATTATTTACACCATCTATACTCTCCATTGAACATTTACACCATCTATACTCTCCATTGAACATTTACACCAGCTATACTCTCCATTGAACATTTACACCACTTAAACTCCTTCAGCTTATTTGAAGTTTTCAATAGCCACATCATTGTTCTATGTAACAAGCATCACTTTACTCAGTTTTAGTAATCGTTACAGATGTATTAATATACACAAAACATTTCATTGCAAAATCTTTTTCATGTGACTTGATTCTAAAACAGTGTCTGTTTTAGACCGCAATCTCTAAGGCAGAGAGACTTACTTATCAAAGACTAACAAACTGCAATGTATTTCAATGATGTCTTAAAAGCTATGCTACATTCTTGGTTAAATTGTAAGGCAGAAGTTATATTTCATATTTAAAATATTTTGCAGGAATTTCTATTTTGCTAATTCAAGATCCACAATGGATTCCCCCTACCCCCTTCCACTTCCACCAACACAAGAAATGACTATTTCAGCTTACTAATAAAAATCTGGCAGTCTAAATCAAAAACTGAAATTATTACTTTTTTGCTGGATTCTATATTGTCTAGAAAAGCTGAGTAAATTGTGACAATCCATTTGCTGATGAATGTTGATGAAGACTCTAGAACACTTAATTTAAAGGAATCAGTAATACTAAATAATAATTCATTCTCAGATTTAACAATGCCAATGTATCTTAATACCTGTACTATTTAAACGATATGTATAAATCAAGCAGAATTACAAACATTTCTTTGTTAAGCTACATGGGAGGGGTTCAGCTTAATCTGAAGTCAACAACTTGTCACTCAACATTCTGATGAACTACCATGGAGTGGCAGATTAGCGTGATGTTACAATAATACTATTTGTCATTGGATTCTTAAGTGTAAATGACCTAATTTAAAAAATAAAACATAAAAACGTGCAGTGTCTTTGAGACATATCACTACTTTGGACGGAGTCATATAAAACTACACCACAAAACAGTTGTAGCAACCTGAGATTTCTAGACAAAATCAAATGTATTTACAAGCTCCATATTGAATTCTTATCATTATGACGTCTTCTGAGCAGGACAACCCTGCAGTGATTTTCATTATATGTAGAAATCTTTAAAAAGATTTGACCAGTTGGCTGAAATTTTCCATATTACTGACAAGAGAATTTTAAAACCTTATCAGAATGAAACACCGGCCAACTGATCATCACAGATAAACATGTTGGAATGATATTAAGATCTATTGTCTCTGTCAATAGCTCCATGATTCTGTCCATGGCTGAATTAACAGCAATGCAGTTCATCACTGATCTGTCCATCAATGTTTAAAACATTGATGCTGTCCATGATTGAATACAACAGCAAGTTTTTCCGCCAATGAACATTTCATACAGGCTTTTACTAGCATCATTCCAGCAGCTCTGCTTCTCTCTGAAGCTTATAATTACTGAGCATACCTGATGTTTTCAGGAACACTGTCCAGCACAGATCATTCTAGCATTCCTGTTGTATTTAGGAACACTGTCTAGCAGAGAACATCCTAGCATTCCTGTTGTATTTAAGAACACTGTCCAGCATTCCTGTTGTATTTAAGAACACTGTCCAGCATTCCTGTTCATTAATGAGACCTGTCGGATAACAGAACATTCCAGCATGTCTGTCATCATTAAGATGATACCTGGCAGATATCACACTCACACAGCACTAAGATTGGCTATCAACACAAAGCTAGAACACAAAGCTGGTCACTCTGGGGCTTCCTATCCTGCTGAAACATGCCCAGCCTGTTCACTTAAAGAGTTCTGATGCCTGCCTCGAGGTTCATGGAGCCCCAGGATTCTCAAGGGGCTCAAAGTCTGACTGATGTGTCTCCAGGCGGTGCAACAGCTGCTCAGCAACAGGATAGAATTCACGCCACGTCTCGTAGTAATACTTCTTCATTTCTTCATCTGTCTCCTCATCTTTAAAGGAGGAGTCCAGTGCTGAGTCTTGGTCTGTAGAGTAGAAAGGCAGGCTTTTATACAGTAGCGGACAGCATATAAGGTACCAAACTCTATTAAATTAAGCCTATTTTCTTTTTAACGATGATCCATATCAGTAACAACTCCAAAACAGTTTCTGTCTAGCCAGATTTCTACTGATTTGTAAACATTTACACTGAAAACTACAGCTGAATCACATCACTGACATTTCCCATCTAGGTGCCCATAAAAGAGTGTGTGCTGTAACAGTGCCATTTACCACCAATTCAATGACACTTTTAGACTGGTGACTTTATCAACATGTAGTAGTTGATGTACAGTTGTTTACATTTTAAATATTCAGTGTGTGCTGAATTACCTGTGTTCACACTGCAGTGATGTCCACTGTGTGCTAATGTTAACGATGTACTAATGTTTACTGTTAATTATAGTGTACTGATGTTGACTGGGTCAAGGGTGTGATATCTACCTGTGTATTCGATTAGTAAGTCGAGTAGATCCTGTGCTTCCTGCTCCCCAAAGCAGGCATTGGTGCTGGTTATTTTTCCACTGTAATTCCATAGTATCTGACACACCAAACTGGCCAGCTCCCAGTCTGACCGTCCAAAGTCTCTTAGCACCTCAATCAGTCTACAACACATTCCAAAATCTTATCATTCTCATCTCATTATGTTTCTACATGTGATGTGCTTCTAGTTACAACATTATCTGTTTTAACAAAATATACCAGTGAGATTCATAATTTCAGGTTGGTAAATACGTATACATGACTTGATGCATATGTAGGTATCAACAATATATGAGATGACAATTAAACCAGCAAATTGATGATCTAGCTATGCTTTGTTTGGTTACTAGGTATACCGGTATATTTTTAAGAGCCTATGAGGCCCCCTATTCAGAACTGGCCCACTGGAGTGACTGGCATATCCTGATGGCTTCCTTTGTCTGCCACTTTGAACAGGTTGCTCTTTCTTTCCACCACTTTGGAATTATTCCAGTCATTAACACGATTTTGCTGATGATATGATTTTGGGTTTTCTTCTCCTTGATGGGACTTTTTTCTTATTCTTCCCCTTACATGTTTGTGTATCTTTTTAAGTGCCCATTCAGAATATTCAAGATTTCCCTGCCCCATTGGTATTTTTCTGCTCTATATTTTTGTGCTGTTATTCTGTGAGCATTTGTTCCACAATGTTCACACTACATCTAGCGTCTGGTGTAAACGGTGGTAAGGGCTCAAGTTCAGGTATTGGTTTGAGTTTGCCATTTTCCTGAGATAATGACATTAAAGAGCAGCTGAGCTAATTTGCTGCTTCGATTGTCATCTTGTACATTTGTAACATATGTACATATGTTTAACTGGTTGTTTGTCAGATGAAGGTAACACAAAACGTATCGCATTAAAATCATTGAAACATCAAACAGGAACATTTCACTGGTTGTACAATATGACTAAGTTTACAATATTAACTCTCCATTTACCCCTACAAATAGTCATTTAAGGCATTTTTCTACTTTACAAAGCTCCGCATATGTTTCACAATAATTATTTTGGAGCTTGGAAACTGGAAAATATCAGCATTTTTAAACAAAAAGTGTGCTTACTTTTTGACTCCTCCCTCTTTTTTGAGGGCAGAGCGTTTTTCTTCATCCACCATGAAGTTAATGAGGACACCACAGGAGATGTACACAACCTCACGGTTGCCGGAGTCTAGCATGGTGACCATCATCTGATCCACTGTAACAGACACAAGGTTATAACTACGAACGTATCACCCTACAGGCTATTCATACTCTAGGTAACACCGTACAACTTACACTGAAGGTTATAACTACTAACGTACCACCCTACAGGCTATCCATACTCTAGGTCACACCATACAACTTACACTCAAGGTTATAACTACTTACGTATCACCCTACAGGCTATTCCTACTCAAGGTCACACCGTACAACTTACACTGAATGTTATAACTACTAACGTATCACCCTACAGGCTATCCATACTCAAGGTCATGTCACACCATACAACTTACACTGAAGGTTATAACTACTAACGTATCACCCTACAGGCTATCCATACTCAAGGTCACACCATACAACTTACACTGAATGTTATAACTACTAACGTACCACCCTACAGGCTATCCATACTCTAGGTCACACCATACAACTTACACTGAATGTTATAACTACTAACGTACCACCCTACAGGCTATCCATACTCAAGGTCACACCATACAACTTACACTGAATGTTATAACTACTAACGTACCACCCTACAGGCTATTCATACTCTAGGTCACACCATACAACTTACACTGAATGTTATAACTACTAACGTACCACCCTACAGGCTATCCATACTCAAGGTCACACCATACAACTTACACTGAATGTTATAACTACTAACGTACCACCCTACAGGCTATTCATACTCTAGGTCACACCGTACAACTTACACTGAATGTTATAACTACTAACGTATCACCCTACAGGCTATCCATACTCAAGGTCATGTCACACCATACAACTTACACTGAAGGTTATAACTACTAACGTATCACCCTACAGGCTATCCATACTCAAGGTCACACCATACAACTTACACTGAATGTTATAACTACTAACGTACCACCCTACAGGCTATCCATACTCTAGGTCACACCATACAACTTACACTGAATGTTATAACTACTAACGTACCACCCTACAGGCTATCCATACTCAAGGTCACACCATACAACTTACACTGAATGTTATAACTACTAACGTACCACCCTACAGGCTATCCATACTCTAGGTCACACCATACAACTTACACTGAATGTTATAACTACTAACGTACCACCCTACAGGCTATCCATACTCAAGGTCACACCATACAACTTACACTGAATGTTATAACTACTAACGTACCACCCTACAGGCTATTCATACTCTAGGTCACACCATACAACTTACACTGAATGTTATAACTACTAACGTATCACCCTACAGGCTATCCATACTCAAGGTCATGTCACACCATACAACTTACACTGAAGGTTATAACTACTAACATACAACCCTACAGGCTATCCATACTCAAGGTCATGTCGCACCATACAACTTACACTGAATGTTATAACTACTAACGTATCACCCTACAGGCTATCAAACCTCAGGGTCATGTCACACCATACAACTTACACTGAAGGTTATAACTACGAACGTATCACCCTACAGGCTATCCATACTCAAGGTCACACCGTACAACTTACACTGAAGGTTATAACTAACGTATCACCCTACAGGCTATCCATACTCAAGGTCACACCATACAACTTACACTGAAGGTTATAACTACTAACGTATCACCCTACAGGCTATCCATCCTCAGGGTCATGTCACACCATACAACTTACACTGAATGTTATAACTACTAACGTATCACCCTACAGGCTATTCATACTCAAGGTCATGTCGCACCATACAACTTACACTGAATGTTATAACTACGAACGTACCACCCTACAGGCTATCCATACTCAAGGTCATGTCACACCATACAACTTACACTGAATGTTATAACTACTAACGTATCACCCTACAGGCTATTCATACTCAAGGTCACACCGTACAACTTACACTGAAGGTTATAACTACTAACGTACAACCCTACAGGCTATCCATACTCTAGGTCACACCGTACAACTTACACTGAAGGTTAAAACTACTAACGTACCACCCTACAGGCTATCCATACTCAAGGTCATGTCACACCATACAACTTACACTGAAGGTTATAACTACGAACGTATCACCCTACAGGCTATTCATACTCTAGGTCACACCGTACAACTTACACTGAAGGTTATAACTACGAATGTATCACCCTACAGGCTATCCATACTCAAGGTCATGTCACACCATACAACTTACACTGGCAGATACCACAATGAAATATAATCACAATGCAGATTATATTGAAGGTTAAATAATTACTTTTAAATACATGTTTGTAACAAGATGTAACTAAATAAACCAACAGGAATATAATAGAGTAGAGTGACTTACCCTTGTGCTGTACCAGAAAGTCCCGGACTGCCTTCTGTCGTGTCAAATTACCAAACACACGTGATGACTCAATCATGCCCTCCATGTTGTTGGCTAGTACTAACTTTAACAGGGCTGTAATACAACAAACAGCAACTCGTAATTTACTGTAACACTGGCTGTTTACAATGTCATAGGCAGCATTGGTTTGGGATTACTACACCAAGACAATTTATTTTTCTGGAATGTTTTCAAAAAATAAACTGTTGCAAAAGATTTACAGTACATGTAAATATCCAAAAAATTTATCATGCCGAAATATTTTCTCAGGACCAATATCAAATACAAGCAAGTGCTCAATTTGGGTGATCATGTTAGTCAGATCACCTTGATGTCAACACTCACCTCAATAACCCTCATCTGGTGTTGGGTGGTCATGTTAGTCGATTACCTTGATGTCAACACTCACCTCAATAACCCTCATCTCGTGTTGGGTGGTCATGTTAGTCGATTACCTTGATGTCAACACTCACCTTTAATAACCCTCATCTGGTGTTGGGTGGTCATGTTAGTCTGATCACCTTGATGTCAACACTCACCTTCAATAACCCTCATCTGGTGTTGGGTGGTCATGTTAGTCTGATCACCCTGATGTCAACACTCACCTTCAATAACCCTCATCTGGTGTTGGGTGATCATGCTTGTTTTGACACTGTAGTAAGACAGATTGTTGATGGTGGCCACTGTGTTAAGGACAAGCTCCTCACTAGCCGAGATCTCCTTGTACTCTGTAAACAGAATCAACAGTAAGCAACTATACTCTCAATCACTTACTGTTAAATTATGAATTTTAGCAGTAACAGGACTTTTGTGATAATCATATTTTCTCTTTTCCTGTGTATATATGACAAAACTGTTCAGAGCAAGAAAGAGTTTTAAGAAATATCTATTGAACATCCCATCACAAGCTTGTGATGTCACAATGGGAGAACAATCACACAACATCACGAAATCAGGGACATTTTGTGATGCCATCATGCAGACATTCTGATGCATTTTATTGGTTTCTGAGCTAATTCTGGTAATTGGAATGAAAGAAAATACTCTATCATGCCCAGGGGTGTAGTCTAGGAAATTCCATCCTGAAGATTTTCAAATTGGAGGAAAACCCTAAGAAAGCCTTAGGTTTTACACAGCCTTAAACCCCTTGGGTGGAATTTCCCTATCTTACATCCTGGACTTTATAGAGTCTTGTATTCTTTCACTCTTGAAAGTGTTATGATAACCACTGGATATAAAGTCACAGTACATTTAACTTAAAAATTATCCCTAACACACAAAAATAAGAATATATGCAAATATTTCAGTGTGTTTACAATACTTGTATTATCGTCAGCTTACTGAAGATACTACTATAGAATGCATATTACCAATTACTCAACAACATCTATTTATCATACCTTTGTCACACGTGTGATCTCATGTTATATGATTTCATGTTATATGTTATATACACATCGATCTTATGATAGTGAAATGGTGCCGCAGACATCCAGATCATATCATGATATTATGGTGAAAACAGAAAAAGACACAAAATGATGGAATTTCAAACTACAAAAATAACCTGCGAATGCATTTTTTTCACAACATAAAATGAAATTCTTGATCATGTGTTAAAAGGAACTTAACAAATATGTTTCTATTTCATGAGACAGAAACCTATCAATTATTTCCTTTCAGCTCACTAGAGGCTTGCTGAAATGAACAATTCTAAAGACTCATTTAAAAAAAATACCACATACCTAGAATACTGAGCAGAAGATCTATGCACTGTGCATTGGAAGCAATGAGTGGGCCTACAGTTTCATTGATTGACAAGTTGGCGATGACCCTGACCACTTTGATCATGACATCCTCCCTCTTATTAAGTTTATTGCCTCGCTCCCCTTCCTCGGACTTCTCCTCTTTACCCTGTGCCTACAACAGACAATCACATACAGAACAAGTCTAATAAATCAGCTTTGGACTTTTTGTTTTAAGAAACTTAATGCAGGACTCTTGAACTATCAAGATGAATTTGATCATGTGAATCCTCCTACACAGATTGTTCCAACCTTGATGTCAATCTACAGGTAAAAAATTAATATGACAGCAATACCTACCTTGAGGTCAATCTACAGGTAAAAAAATAATATGGCAGCAATACCTACCTTGAGGTCTATCTACAGGTAAAGATTTAATACTGACAGCAATACCTACCTTGAAGTCTATCTACAGGTTTAGATTTAATACTGACAGCAATACCTACCTTGAAGTCTATCTACAGGTAAAGATTTAATACTGACAGCAATACCTACCTTGAGGTCTATCTCTACAGGTAAAGATTCAATACTGACAGCAATACCTACCTTGAAGTCTATCTACAGGTAAAGATTTAATACTGACAGCAATACCTACCTTGAGGTCTATCTACAGGTAAAGATTTAATACTGACAGCAATGCTTACCTTGATGTCCATCTCCAGGTAAAGTTTTAATACTGACAGCAACACATCAAAGGCCTTGTTCTCTTGGTACAGCCGCACTCTCGCTTCGTCGTTTTTGGCAGTTATGTTTCCCAGTACAAAACACACACGTACAACCATATCCTGTAACAAAGTGACACATGGATTAAATTCTCTACATCTGTTTACAGTGCAAAACTTAAAGTGTTGGAACTTCATTTACAATTTTAAACCCACAGTGAAAGACTTACAGACTTCTGGAGATGTTTGTTGAGCAAATTGATGAAAGACTTGTATGAGGATGGCTGGTCTGCCAGGACAGTACAGCAGTCTGTGTGGAGGGTGATTTTACTGTAACACAAAGTACAACAGGGCTAACACAGAAATCAGGATCTACTAGAATCCTCTTCAAAGTCATAGGAAAATTTAAATTGACTGAATGTCTTCACAAAAACTTGTTATTGGGCCTTAATTATAAAGATTAAGTATCATCATGATGTGTCAGTCAGGTAGTCTTACCTAAATATACGTGATATGTTGAGCATGAGGTCCCCATCAAGAGCGTACATGTCCACAACAGTACACAGGCCTTCCACAATATGACAACTTAAAAATTTGTCACGACTTGAGTTGGCATCAGCTAAGTTTCTTAAGGTAGCTGTCAACTGTAACAAAGTAAAGGAGAGGTCTAATGCTGGTCAATTAGTATCTGTAGTTTAAACCCAGTAGTATATGTAGTTTACAGAGAGCAGTATCTGTAGTTTACACAGAGTAGTATCTGTAGTTTACACAGAGCAGTATCTGTAGTTTTCACATAGCAGTATCTGTAGTTTACACAAAGTAGTATCTGTAGTTTACACAGAGTAGTATCTGTAGTTTACACAGAGTAGTATCTGTAGTTTACAGAGAGTAGTATCTGTAGTTTACACAGAGTAGTATCTGTAGTTTACACAGTAGTATCTGTAGTTTACACAGAGTAGTATCTGTAGTTTACAGAGTAGTATCTGTAGTTTACACAGAGTAGTATCTGTAGTTTACACAGAGCAGTATCTGTAGTTTACACAGAGTAGTATCTGTAGTTTACACAGAGCAGTATCTGTAGTTTACACATAGTAGTATCTGTAGTTTACAGAGTAGTATCTGTAGTTTACACAGAGTAGTATCTGTAGTTTACAGAGTAGTATCTGTAGTTTACACAGAGTAGTATCTGTAGTTTACACAGAGCAGTATCTGTAGTTTACACATAGTAGTATCTGTAGTTTACAGAGTAGTATCTGTAGTTTACACAGAGTAGTATCTGTAGTTTACAGAGTAGTATCTGTAGTTTACACAGAGTAGTATCTGTAGTTTACACAGAGCAGTATCTGTAGTTTACACAGAGTAGTATTTGTAGTTTACACAGAGTAGTATCTGTAGTTTACACAGAGCAGTATCTGTAGTTTATACCCAGTAGTATCTGTAGTTTACACAGAGTAGTATCTGTAGTTTACAGAGTAGTATCTGTAGTTTTCACATAGCAGTATCTGTAGTTTACACAAAGTAGTATATTTTTATTACATGCGCTTTATTGGCTTCATATACAAATTATTCTGTCACTTACCTGTACAAGTATATGTCCAAGTTGTTCATTAACTTTTCCATTTTCTCTATTCTGTGAAAATAGAATTAAAGATCATTATTTGTGATTTCATGACAAATACTAACTCAACACTTTGTCAATCAATCATATTATATTTGTTCTACAGGTTTTTAAGTGCAAAAGAAAACGGGTGATACCTCTTTTGTCAAAATACAATTGTAGTATGATTTTTTTTTTAAGATGCAGGACAATACAATTCATACCTAGTCTTACTTATACTAATTCCCTTTACTTTTCACTTAGAAGCTCCAGGAAGCAAAAAATTGAAAAACAACATAGAACAAATCAGGATTTGTGTTTTGTATTCACCGTTTTGTTGATTCCATCCAGCAGCTGGCCTAGGCCTTCTATACAGTTCTCTTTGACAAGCTGTTTGACAATGGTAGTATTCCCCGTCAGAAACTTGATGGCACCCACACAATATATGAGGGCTTCACATGACGAAGTGTGGTCAGTACAACTTAACGTCTTTGACAACAGCTCTACAAATTAAATTAGTATCACTTGCAGTTACAGATATACTCTTGTTATTATGTGCGACTGATTTCAAATATACCAGTGGTAGCAGGCTCAGTGGAGCAGACTCAGTGGAGCAGGCTCAGTGGAGCAGACTCAGTGGAGCAGGCTCAGTGGAGCTGACTCTTATTTGGAAAAGAAAGTATACTGTGACTTAAACATCCCCATTACAATGTAACTGAGGTAATCACTGGAACCTTGTTCCTGTTTTGACTCTAGCTTTTATCATGATTTCAGCAAAGAAAAACATCCTTGTGGAAATTTATAGGAATACAATTCAGATGAAATAAACAACAAAAGTTACTGACAGTGTTCTGTAAGAGATATCTATAGATACTTTTTTTGTGTGTGCTCAAATTCATACAGTTATTATTCACCAAATTACAGGAAGTAAAGGTGTGGGTGCGACTTAAACTTACCTAATATGTTTCCTCGTAGAAACTCAGGGTCATTCTTTTCATTACGACTCACTTTAAAAACTAGTTTACACACATTTAAAAGATTGTTGCCGCTCACACGGAACTGAAAAGGTAGAATCAAAAGGTCTACTTTACCATAGATATTTATGTTACATGTAGATGAAGCTCAGCCTTAGATAAACATTTTTATGGATGAAACTAACAGGATAAATGCTTTTAGAAAGGCAAAAGTTGCTTTATACAGTATACAATATACATTGTTTCAAAATCTGTGTAAGATTAACAAATAAACGAATAACAGCAAAACAAAAAATTGTAAGGTCAAATGGTGTAACCATTCAAGGTAATGACAAAGCATCTTACAATGAAATATAACACAAAGAGAGAAGTGTCTGATATCTAGCGACACTGTAGTGGATAAATTACCTAGTATAAGTCTAATGTCTAGTGACGTAGTTACGTACAGGTAAGATATCTACCGACAGAGCAGTGTGGTCATTACATACAGTCAGTACAAGTCTGATGTCTAGTGACGTAGTAACGTACAGTTAAGATATCTACAGACAGAGCAGTGGTGTCATTACATACAGTTAGTACAAGTCTAATGTCTACTGACGTAGTTACGTACAGGTAAGATATCTGCAGACAGAGCAGTGTGGTCATTACATACAGCTAGTACAAGTCTGATGTCTAGTGACGTAGTTACGTACAGGTAAGATATCTGCAGACAGAGCAGTGTGGTCATTACATACAGTTACTACAGGTCTGATGTTTAGTGACGTAGTTACGTACAGGGAAGATATCTACAGACAGAGCATGGTGGCCATTACATACAGTTAGTACAAGTCTGATGTTTAGTGACGTAGTTACGTACAGGTAAGATATCTGCAGACAGAGCAGTGTGGTCATTACATACAGCTAGTACAAGTCTGATGTCTAGTGACGTAGTAACGTACAGTTAAGATATCTACAGACAGAGCAGTGGTGTCATTACATACAGTTAGTACAAGTCTGATGTCTAGTGACGTAGTTACGTACAGGAAAGATATCTACAGACAGAGCAGTGTGGTCTTTACATACAGTTAGTACAAGTCTGATGTCTAGTGACGCAGTCACGTACAGGTAAGATATATACAGACAGAGCAGCGTGGTAATTACATACAGTTAGTACAAGTCTGATGTCTAGTGACGCAGTCACGTACAGGTAAGATATATACAGACAGAGCAGCGTGGTAATTACATACAGTTAGTACAAGTCTGATGTTTAGTGACGTAGTTACGTACAGGGAAGATATCTATAGACAGAGCAGTGTGGTCATTACATGCAGTTAGTACAAGTCTAATGTCTAGTGACGTAGTTACGTACAGGTAATATATCTACAGACAGAGCAGTGTGGTCATTTCATACAGTTAGTACAAGTCTGATGTCTAGTGACGTACTTACGTACAGGTAAGATATCTACAGACAGAGCATTGTGGTCATTACATACAGTTAGTACAAGTCTAATGTCTAGTGACGTAGTTACGTATAGGTAAGATATCTACAGACAGAGCATGGTGGCCATTACATACAGTTAGTACAAGTCTGATGTCTAGTGACGTACTTACGTACAGGTAAGATATCTACAGACAGAGGAGTGTGGTCATTACATACAGTTAGTACAAGTCTGATGTCTAGTGACGTAGTTACGTACAGGTAAGATATCTATAGACAGAGCAGTGTGGTCATTACATACAGTTAGTACAAGTCTAATGTCTAGTGACGTAGTAACGTACAGGTAAGATATAATTAATAATGATAATCATTTGAGGTTCTGATATACCGCTTTATCACAACCTAGTTCGTAGGTTGTCTCAAAGCGGTTCACAAATTATTATCCATGATTATAGGGCCTTTGCAACCAGCAAATATCTTTATCAACTCCCTGGGGAGCATACAGCCGGGGATGCCATTTCGGCGCTTACAGCTAGCATTCAAAAATTCTAGCACTGCCCAACCACATACTCATTTACAGCTGAGTAGACTGGAACAAGCGAAGTAAAGTATCTTGCTCAAAGATACAACACATTGCCGTGCCGTGGCACAAACCCGCAACCCTTCGGTCACGAGCTCGGCGTCCTACCTCTGGACTACCGTGCCTCCTAAATTACATAGTACAAGTCTGATGTCTAGTGACAAAATAACATACAGGTAAGATATATACAGACATAGAGCAGTAAAATTATTACATACAGAGAGGATGAGTCTTGCCACCCGTAGTAGGACTTTGGGCTCTTCCAGGTCAAGTAATTTGAACACAGACTTGAGTATGGTGGAACGTTGTTTACAACTCTTGCCTAGCAGGTTCTCCTTCTGTAGGAGCTTGTACAGGTTGTCAGCACACTCACACAGCTTGTCACCCTCCCGCTCTACATAAAAACAAACTCAACTGTCACTGTTCACCACACATGTAAAACAACAGTATTCTTTACTGATATCGGTGACGAGTGTTTCTTTTTTAGTTCAACGACAAAAAATAATTGGAGATATATTGCATCAAGCATAGTTAATTGATATGTGTTCTAAAAAAATAACATATTGAGTCTTTATATTGTTAAATACAAAGTTTTACACATATATAAGCATGCAAAATATTTTAAACAGACATTTCTCTAGCTACTCCACAGCATAGAAATACATACATTTAAAATGTTTAAACACACATTCCATTTTTTTTAAATGCAAGATACAATTGATCAAGCTAAGGACTCCTTGTTTAGATACAACTGATCAAGCTAAGTACTCATTATTTCGATACAATTGATCAAGCTAAGGACTCATTATTTAGATCCAACTGATCAAGCTAAGGACTCATTATTTAGATACACCTGATCAAGCTAAGGACTCCTTGTTTAGATACAACTGATCAAGCTAAGTACTCATTATTTAGATACAATTGATCAAGCTAAGGACTCATTATTTAGATACACCTGATCAAGCTAAGGACTCCTTGTTTAGATACAACTGATCAAGCTAAGTACTCATTATTTCGATACAATTGATCAAGCTAAGGACTCATTATTTAGATCCAACTGATCAAGCTAAGGACTCATTATTTAGATACAATTGATCAAGCTAAGGACTCATTATTTAGATCCAACTGATCAAGCTAAGGACTCATTATTTAGATACACCTGATCAAGCTAAGGACTCCTTGTTTAGATACAACTGATCAAGCTAAGGACTCATTGTTTAGATACAACTGATCAAGCTAAGGACTCATTGTTTCTACAGTGCTGGTTGATGCTGCTGTGTGAAAGGTTGACACTTACTTTTACCTAAGAGAGCCAGCTCTTCCAGACGAGGGGCAATATTCTGGGTGTAAAACATGGTCTCCTCCTGAGACTCCTCGGCATCTCGCTTACCAGCACTACCTACAAATTCAAGTAACAGGTGTCAAACTTACATAAGGTCCTTACTTTGCATTGACTTATTGACATAATCTGACCATGGGACTTGCCTGTTTGCTCAGTAGTTTGACATAATGACAGAGGCTGGCCCTGGGACTTGCCCGTCAGGACATTAGTTTGACATACTGATACACTCAAGTTTGACAGTTTGACATAGACTGGTACTGGGACTTACCTGCCCAGCCAGTAGTTTGATAGTTTGACATAGACTGGTCCTGGGACTTACCTACCCGGCCAGTGGTTTGATAGTTTGACATGGACTGGTCCTGGTACGTACTTGCCCAGCCAGTAGTTTGACAAAGACTGGTCCTGGTACGTACCTGCCTGGCCAGTAGTTTGACATAGACTGGGCCTGGTACGTACCTGCCTGGCCTGTAGTTTGACATAGACTGGTCCTGGTACGTACCTGCCTGGCCTGTAGTTTGACATAGACTAGCCCTGGTACGTACCTGCCTGGCCTGTAGTTTGACATAGACTGGTCCTGATACGACGTACCTGCCAAGCCAGTAGTTTGACATAGACTGGTCCTGGTACGTACCTGCCTGGCCAGTAGTTTGGCATAGACTGGTCCTGGTACTTAGTTGCCCAGCCAGTAGTTTGACATAGACTGGTCCTGGTACGTACCTGCCCAGCCAGTAGTTTGACATAGACTGGTCCTGGTACGTACCTGCCTGGCCTGTAGTTTGACATAGACTGGTTCTGGTACGTCGTACCTGCCCAGCCAGTAGTTTGACATAGACTGGTCCTGGTACGTACCTGCCAAGCCAGTAGTTTGGCATAGGCTGGTCCTGGTACGTACCTGCCCAGCCAGTAGTTTGACATGGACTGGTCCTGGTACGTACCTGCCCGGCCAGCAGTTTGACATAGACTGGTCCTGGTACGTACCTGCCCCGCCAGTAGTTTGACATAGACTGGTCCTGGTACGTGCCTGCCCAGCCAGTAGTTTGACATAGACTGGTCCGGGTACGTACCTGCCTGGCCTGTAGGTTGACATAGACTGGTCCTGATACGTACCTGCCTGGCCAGTAGTTTGACATAGACTGGTCCTGGTACGTCCCTGCCCAGCCAGTAGTTTGACATGGACTGGTCCTGGTACGTACCTGCCCAGCCAGCAGTTTGACATAGACTGGTCCTGGTACGTACCTGCCCAGCCAGTAGTTTGACATAGACTGGTCCTGGTACGTACCTGCCCAGCCAGTAGTTTGACATAGACTGGTCCTGGTACGTACCTGCCCAGCCAGTAGTTTGACATAGACTGGTCCTGGTACGTACCTGCCTGGCCTGTAGTTTGACATAGACTGGTCCTGATACGTACCTGCCTGGCCAGTAGTTTGACATAGACTGGTCCTGGTACGTACCTGCCCGGCCTGTAGTTTGACATAGACTGGTCCTGGTACGTACCTGCCTGGCCAGTAGTTTGACATAGACTGGTCCTGGTACGTACCTGCCTGGCCTGTAGTTTGACATAGACTGGTCCTGGTACGTACCTGCCTGGCCAGTAGTTTGACATAGACTGGTCCTGGTACGTACCTGCCTGGCCTGTAGTTTGACATAGACTGGTCCTGGTACGTACCTGCCTGGCCAGTAGTTTGACATAGACTGGTCCTGGTACGTACCTGCCCGGCTAGTAGTTTGACATAGACTTGTCCTGGTACGTACCTGCCCGGCCAGTACTGCCTGCGCTAGATGTCCTGTTAGTGCCTCCACTGCTGACTCTGCTCTCCACCTCTCTACTGCTGGCACTGTCAACATAACAAATCAATGTGTAAAACACTGCAAAGCTGGGCTTCCAAGCACTGCTCAAATTCATATTTTCTTAAGTAATGACTGAAAAAATATTTTTAAAAACCCATAATATCACACTTATTTCACTTCTATTTAACAACAAATGACCATAAATTGGCATCAACGGTCATCTGATTTGTAAAGAGCTGTTATTTGTTGTTAAGTGACAAATGAAAATAGAACATGTAATGAAAATATGGCTTTTTTATTGTTGATTCACTGACAAAAAAATATTGGGGAGTGATCAACATACATGTTCATGTATAGCTGGTAACTGTAAAAATCAGACAAAGCATATGCAAGTCTTGTCTCATATCCAACAGTTATAAAATGATTATTATTATGGAATTACGGCAGACCCTAAACCTTATAATCTTTGAGAAAAAATTACAATCTTTGTGAACTCATTTTTTTCTCTTCTCGTTAGGGTCTGAATTTTTGTACCATCAAATTACCATCACATGAATATAATTCCAATCAAGTTTGAACTATTTCCTAATATAAACCAAAAGCGATATTTCCCTATATATAAAATAAAAGTAAAATGTACTCCCTCCACAATGGGGAAATAGGTGACCATGGGGTAATGAAATGTACAATTTTAATAAAGCACCTTAGGACCTTTCCATCCAGGAAAAATATTTGATTCTACCATATCCGGGTTAAAAGCAGAGATCATTGAAATTTAGCAAATTTGATCTCTCCTCCTGCCCCTCATGAATTGTTTACAAGAGACTTATCTCTGGTGACCTAAAACGCAGACAACAGTCTTATCAAGTACTTGTAAATCCAGAAAATCTGAATATCTGTAGTAAGACTATGCTTTCTCACCCAACTTTATTACTGAACCTCTAAAGTTTACCTTCTAGGAGGACTCCTGACTGAGGCCTGACTAGGGGCTCTAGGGGGCATCTCCTTGCCATCCCCCTCCCCTCGCTCCTCCTTAGGAATGGGTGTCCTATCCTTGGGTCCGCTGTGAGTCCTTCGTGTTGAGTCAGTCGTGTTTCCATCCGTCTGTCTGGAGGAACCTGACACTAGGAACATCAAGGGAAAACAATATGAATTTCGGTTCAGCTTCTGCAGTGATCAGAGCACATCAGACTATTATACAGGGTTCTAAAGTATATAGACACTAACTAAATAATAATGAAGAGCTAGACAGAAAAACATATATCACATTCTTTTAAGTGTCAGAGTGGAAACCTAAGAATAGTAATTCAGTTCAATGAACAAACAGCTCTTGATCGCTAATTAGCAATCTATATGTATTTACAGTCAGTGAGTGAACCACTGTTGTTAATCCCAAAACATCAACAAGAGGCCCAGGGGGCCTGTATCTCTCACCTGGATATTTAAGCAATCATGACAAAATATTCTCCAAATAAAATCCCAGGGATAGGGCCAAACCTCAAGGCCAACCCCTGTAGCATATCTGTATAGATTTTTCATGCCCAGCAATTTTATGTATAGTTATTCGGTAGGGATCTCAACTATTTCCAAGTTGTGACTCAGAAACTAGGTCCCAAGGGTTGTGGCCAGACCCCAGGGTGAATTCTAATATCATGAATCCATTCGTCTCTTTATGCCCAGCAGTTGTATATATAGTTTTAGGATGGGGATCTCAACTGTTTCAAAGTTATGACTCAGGGGTTAAGTCTAAAAGGGTGAAGCAGACCCCTGGGTCAATTCTAATATCATGACTGCATTCGTCTCTTTATGCTCAGCAATTGTATATATAGTTTTGGGGTGGGGATATCAACCATTTCCAAGTTTTGACCCAGAAACTAGGTCCCTAGAAGTGTGGCCAGGCCGAAGGGTCAATGCTTATATCATGATTGTGTTTGTCTCTTAATTTTTGATTTCACCCTTTAGCCCGGGGGTCAGTTTGCCCATTTGTACACTTGTTAATACCCACCACCTAGGGATGCTTCCAACAAAATATGATTGATACCCATCGCTTAATTCCAGAGAAGAAGTTGCTTCAAGCAAAGTCGTTCAATTACCTTTTCTGGCCCAGCCCCTCAGCCCCCTGGGGTGTCAACCCAACCATTTGTACCATTATGAATCCCCACCACTCAGGGGTGCTTCCAGTCAAATATGGTTGATATTTATCACTTAGTTCCAGAGAGGAAGTCACTTAAAGCAATGTAGTCAAATAACCCTTTTTGACCCGACCCCTCATCACCCTGGGAGGTCAGCCCCACCATTTGTCCAATTTTGAATGACCACCACCCGTGGATACTTCTAATGTGGGCGGATTGGTCGAGTGGCTAACACTCCGGCCTTCCAAGCAGGCGGCCGGGGTTCGATACCCGAAGTCGCTGTACGCATGGAATATTAGAGAAAGTGTTTTTCTCCTGCCCACACAACTCCAACAACCCAGGTGGAGAATAAAATGGTCTGGGGTGGGTGTTGCGGTATCTGTGCTGTAGCATTCAAGTGAGGTGGCACAATAAAGGATACCGTTGGAAGCACGGTTCCACTACAAACAGAACACAATACATCCCACCTATCAGCCCCCTAGGGTGTCACACAGAGATGCTACTAGTCAAATATTGTTAATATCCACCATTTCGTGACAGAGAAGAAGTCGCTTTTAGCAATATAGCCAAATAACCCTTTTGGCCCTGCCCCTCAGCCCCCTGGAGGGTAAGCCTCACCATTTGTTCAATTCTGAATCCCCACCACCTAGAGATACTTTCAATTAAAGTTTGTTAAATTCCAATCAGTGGTTAAGAAGCACAAGTCGTTTGAAGAAATTGTTGACGTACTGACGGGCACCCCTGTATGGCATAAGCTCACTTTGGTCCTTTGGACCAGGTGAGCTAATAATAAGAACCAGTAAACCCTTACAGTCAGTGAGTGAACCACTGTTGTTAATCCCCAAACATCAATAACTAGAACCAGTAAACAAACAATTGTTAATGGGGACCCAATACTTACAGTCAGTGAGTGAACCACTTTTGTTGATACCGAGGGAGTCAGGACTGGAGCCATCAACACTGTTGCTGTGGATGACACGGGCTCGAGGAACCTTCCTAGTTGCCTTGTTAGGGTCAGTAGGGGGTTTAGGTGGAAGGAGTACCTCAACATCAGGTTCTGTTGGTAGCCGTGGAGTCTGTAACACCCCAAGGGGGACAACTCTTTATACAGCTACTATCAAACAAACTAATTATTCACAGTAAAAATATCAAACCTTCTCTTCCAGCAATCACCACCAATTCTAACAAAAACATTACAAGACAAATCAAGCATGATGATGGTATAATATGGGTATGTGTTACAAATCTATATTAACAATGATCTACTACCTTTACCTACTAGTGTGATCTGGGTAGCCATGTTAAGCTTTGGTAAGCTGGGATGTTAATCAGTCAAATTCTAATGTCTTCACACATAGACGAAGATTCATGCATTATCTAATTGCCTAACATGGAAACAATGACAATATGTATTTTTATGTATTACAGAAAAAAATGTTTCTTTGCAGAAGATGTTAATGTCAACTTGATAGCTTGTTCTTCATGTTATGTATGGATGCAAAAATATTTGATGAAGCAGACATCACAAGCCAATTCCTATGAAATCTAACTACAAGGGTAGTAATTACAATGTAATCACCTTATCAGCTCTTACAGCCTTTACTGTTTACCAATCCAGGCTAATGGGAGATTTCAGCATGTACATGCTCTTGTATTTCACCTAAAACATGCACCTCTAACCTACGACACAACATCACTAAAGCCATGCAGACATCTGTCAGTGCTGGTTCAGCTTTCATTATAATGAAATTAGTAGGAGTGTAAAAGCATTAGGCTGTATGTTTTGTAAATTTACATCATTTAAGACAACTTCTTTTTTTGTAAACTTCCTACACTGTATACTAAATTTGGTTGTATCCATCTGTTGTAATCAACTTACTATTATAGTGTTGGTATCTGTATTCTTACATAAACACAGCATTGTAATCTAGGCCATCATATTTCTTATCTTCAAAATTGAGCACTGGTTCTTGTTTAGAATTACTGCCATGGGAAGAACACATAAAGCCAGGTCTACCAATGACCTAACACAGGTACACAGTTAACTATAAAGCATCTACCCTCCCAGGTCTACAAATGACCTAACACAGGTACATAGTTAACTATAAAGCACCTAGCCTCCCAGGTCTACTAGACTACCAATGACCTAACACAGGTACATAATTAACTATAAAGCATCTACCCTCCCATGTCTACCAATGACCTAACACAGGTACACAGTTAACTATAAAGCATCGACCCTCCCAGGTCTACCAATGACCTAACACAGGTACACAGTTAACTATAAAGCATCTACCCTCCCAGTCTACCAATGACCTAACACAGGTACACAGTTAAATATAAAGCATCTACCCTCCCAGGTCTACCAATGACCTAACACAGGTAAATAGTTAACTATAAAGCACCTAGCCTCCCAGGTCTACTAGACTACCAATGACCTAACACAGGTACATAATTAACTATAAAGCATCTACCCTCCCATGTCTACCAATGTCCTAACACAGGTACATAGTTAACTATAAAGCACCTACCCTCCCAGGTCTACCAATGACCTAACACAGGTACATAATTAACTATAAAGCATCTACCCTCCCATGTCTACCAATGACCTAACACAGAAACATAGTTAACTATAAAGCATCTGCCCTCCCAGGTCTACCATTGACCTAACACAGGTACATAGTTAAGTATAAAGCGCCTACCCTCCCAGGTCTACCAATGACCTATCACAGGTACATAGTTAACTATAAAGCATCTGCCCTCCCAGGTCTACCATTGACCTAACACAGGTACATAGTTAACTATAAAGCATCTTCCCTCCCAGTTCTACCAATGACCTAACACAAAATACACAACATCTTCCAGTGCTGACATGCTTACTTGTTCTTCATGGATCATAGATGTGCAACTTGGTCTCTGAAAATGAAGATTCAGATTTCGGTATGAGTTCTAGCCTCCCATGTCTACCAATGACCTAACACAGGTACATAGATAACTATAAAGCATCTACCCTCCCAGTCTACCAATGACCTAACACAGGTACATAATTAACTATAAAGCATCTACCGTCCCATGTCTACCAATGACCTAACACAGGTACATAATTAACTATAAAGCATCTACCGTCCCATGTCTACCAATGACCTAACACAGGTACATAGATAACTATAAAGCATCTACCCTCCCAGTCTACCAATGACCTAACACAGGTACATGGTTAACTATAAAGCATCTACCCTCCCAGTCTACCAATGACCTAACACAGGGACACAGTTAAATATAAAGCATCTACCCTCCCAGGTCTACCAATGACCTCACACAACCTACACAACCTCTTCCAGTGCTGACATGCTTACTTGTTCTTCATGGATCATAGATGTGCAACTTGGTCTCTGAAAATGAAGATTCAGATTTCGGTATGAGTTCTAGCCTCCCATGTCTACCAATGACCTAACACAGAAACATAGTTAACTATAAAGCATCTGCCCTCCCAGGTCTACCATTGACCTAACACAGGTACATAGTTAAGTATAAAGCACCTACACTCCCAGGTCTACCAATGTCCTAACACAGGTACATAGTTAACTATAAAGCATCTACCATCCCAGGTCTACCAATGACCTAACACAGGTAAATAGTTAACTATAAAGCACCTAGCCTCCCAGGTCTACCAGACTACCAATGACCTAACACAGGTACATAATTAACTATAAAGCATCTACCGTCCCATGTCTACCAATGACCTAACACAGGTACATAGTTAAGTATAAAGCACCTACCCTCCCAGGGCTACCAATGACCTAACACAGGTACATAGTGAACTATAAAGCATCTACCCTCCCAGGTCTACGAATGACCTATCACAGGTACATAGTTAACTATAAAGCATCTTCCCTCCCAGGTCTACCAATGACCTATCACAGGTACACAGTTAACTATAAAGCATCTACCCTCCCAGGTCTACCAATGACCTATCACAGGTACATAGTTAACTATAAAGCATCTACCATCCCAGGTCTACCAATGACCTAACATAGGTACATAGTTAAGTATAAAGAACCTACCCTCCCAGGTCTACCAATGATCTAACACAGGTACATAGTTAACTATATAGCACCTAGCCTCCCAGGTCTACCATACTACCAATGACCTAACACAGGGACATAGTTAACTATAAAGCATCTCCCCTCCCAGGTCTACCAGACTACCAAGGACCTATCACAGGTACATAGTTAACTATATAGCACCTAGCCTCCCAGGTCTACCAGACTACCAATGACCTATCACAGGTACATAGTTAATTATAAAGCACCTACCCTCCCAGGGCTACCAATGACCTAACACAGGTACATGGTTAACTATAAAGCACCTACCCTCCCAGGGCTACCAATGACCTAACACAGGTACATAGTTAACTATAAAGCATCTACCCTCCCAGGTCTACCAGACTACCAATGACCTATCACAGGTACATAGTTAACTATAAAGCATCTACCCTCCCAGGTCTACCAATGACCTAACACAAAATACACAACATCTTCCAGTGCTGACATGCTTACTTGTTCTTCATTGATCATAGATGTGCAACTTGGTCTCTGAAAATGAAGATTCAGATTTCAGTATGAGTTCTAGCCTGCAGTGTTTCACCTAACAGTTTCTCCCTTTATATTATATGTACAATGACTTCAGTTGTTTGAGATCACTACAGAAGCCTAAATCTACTTTTCCATTAATTTTACACACCTATATACCTTAGTTTATTAAACTTAGTTGTAGTTTATTTCATTTTTATAACAACTAATTTATCATATAATGATAATATTTAAAGAACTGGTCAAATGAATGGTTTGAACACTTCTTCACAAATTGTTGTGTACACAATGTACTGGAATCTCCTGCATATCCACTGTTTATCTTGTTGTGTACACAATGTACTGGAATCTCCTGCATATCCACTGTTTATCTCAACATTAAAACGTTTTTATAAAAATATTCCTTAGAAAAACAGGCCAGTGAAATAATAGATATTATATTTTAAATACCCTACTACACGTATTGACTTTGATGAATTTGAAAAGTGAAAATACAACTAAAGTGACCTGAAATTAGCAGGTTTGGCTAGCATTTGAACCATCTGCATGTATGAGCCTCGTTTTATTGTCAAAAAACTTGGCACTCAGCAGGTCTGTCACTTAATCATCACTCAGCAGGTCTGTCACTTAACATACAATATGTATGCATATGGTACTGTGAGGAAACACTTACTCAAAGGAAAACAAGTTTTTGAGTGTATGAGTTTTACATCTTTCATATAAAGTGTATCATTATAGCTACATAATTTATATAGTTTACAGTTTTTCAAACCTATTGTTAAAAATCATTTTCAAGTTAATGGACTTTTTATGTTTGCGTATTATAGAGAATTTACAGCAGAAACTTGGATTTTTAAGGCCACTGCAATAACCTGTTTTAAGCTTACTTTGTGAAGGCATGCAATAAAGCAGTATACCTATACAGGTGCTGTGAACCAATGTACAACCTTCTATACCTATAGGTCTACATGTCAGAGATTTGTGATCGGTACATGAGTACCAAACACTCTCACTATAATGTTTATAGAACTACTCCCTCATACAGCTACAGGAGTATACTTGAACAGGAATGGAAGTCACGCCTACTTAATCAGGTTATAAGGTGCAAGTGCATTTCATCAGATTGGGAGTAGTGCAAGGCCATTACTGGATATATATATATAGGAGCTTTATCCTGAAAGCTGACTGGGTTGAAGACTCCAACACCATCAAGTAATGCGACGTTTAACTTGCTTGCAATGTTAACAGTAATAGAACTGATGTTGTAATTTAAAAAGACGATTGAAATGTTTAAAATCTGACTCAATTACTGAAACAACTGTAAATCATTTCTATTTCACAGAATACAGATGAAGTTAAGCAAGTTCTTATCAAATGTGATTGTGATGAAATTTAAAGCTTTCAACTGAGATTTAAAAAGTACACTATATATCCAATTCCAATTTGAAGAAAGCTTTGAAGATATTCCCCAATTATGACTTTCTCTTCTGGTCAACATATCTTTATACAGACAGTTCAAATTTTGCCTTGTTGGCCTCCTCAGGTATAAATCATAAAGAGGACATTATTTGTCAAACCAGTTATCATCTATACACTGTCTGATATCTGAAAACTTTTTTTTCCTTGTTTTTATTTTAATGAGAATTTTAAGATATATATTTTATATGCTCAACCAAAGCACAGTGAATTACAGATTTTGTGATTATCTATTACTGGAAATGCCAATGAAAACAACACCAGTTTTGTGTTTGTTGTAAATCTGTGAAGTCATTGTATTATGTGATGACTTTATATGTTACCTATCTTTATAGTGGTGTTACATTGTATTACACTGTATAGAAGTCAGAGTATATTACATGTATGTGTAACGTTATTGTTCACATAACAAATTCAACAGCTTTAAATAACTCATTTGAAACAAAAATTAAAGTTAATTTAGAGTAATTCACTGGAACATTTAACCAAGTTCATTAAACGTGAAATTTGACATATACGAGATAATTATTAGGATATATGTTTATATTCAGTGTCAGTTATTTAGATTGTACATAGTGTTAGTCCTACTCGAGCTGAGGGTTCTGTGCCCCTGACAAGACACATCCAAGTCACAGCAGACTTTCACTAAATTGTTATGCTTTCATAAACCGGTAGATGTACAGCAGGGGGAAAACACAGAAACAGAATAAGTTTTCTTTATAATGCAATTTGACTGCTTATATCGGAAATGAAGCATGTAACAAGTGGAAAGCATGAGAGGTTATATCAGACAAAGGTTTAGTGCTCGCACTTGTGATTATATTGTCCTGTGATCAAGTTATGTGTACAGTGTGTATATGAACATACCTGTACTTGACCACTGGTTTGGTTTATTTAAGTGCTTTCACTGTTAGCCTGAGGTTTGACCATACTTACATGGGGAAGAGGGCTGAGCTTGGTACCAGATGCAGGTCTTGAGTCCACTCCATCAAAATGTCGTGATGTCAGACTATACAAACATCAAACAAGTAGAAAATATATATACCAGGTGCACTGCATAGAGCTTAAAGAAGTTTTTTCCAAAACCATAGAGTAGGAAGGTACAAATTTTGTTGATGCTTTACTTGTGCATTAATAAGTAAATATACTAAGCAAGGTGTTACTGCTGTTGATCTTCTAATATTTTGTTTGTTTGTCATGTGAATGATTTTCTGATTTTTTCATATGAAATAGATTAATAGAAACCGAAACATGGATTTGGAAGTGGTTAGTTTTCCACATCCAAACTAATTTAAGCACAATATATCACTACAATGCATGTTGAAAATGGAAGAATTTGTTCTTTCTGAGGGTAAAAAATGGAAATTAATTATTCTATTTTTTTTAATAATATTTCAGCAAAGATAGGTAGTAAATCAGGGATGGTCATGGTGCAATTTTATAATCAAGTTGTATAGTAAAATAGCAATATCAGAAAGTACATGTACACATTAGTCATCTGTGTACGGTATTGCAATCTGATTGGAGTTATCATACGATGTCAATGTTTCGCACTTCATCCTGATACAATGTTATATCTAGTTTAGGCTTTAAGTTGGTCAGCTTGTTCATGTATCAGTACTGACATGTGGCATACAAATATATAGTTAGTTTGTCACAGTTAGCTGCGTGTTATCTCAACATTGTGTTCTGCCATTGTGCATAATGACCAGTTTGAGCACGTTTCCGATGTCAATGTCCATAGCCAAACTCTGCCATCAATAAACCTGTGACTTTTCAAATTTTGATGTGTTGAACAGCTATATGGCAACCTATGGCATACTTACCTAAAGGCACTTGGTGGCCTAGTATCTGGATTCCTAGTACTTGCTGGCCCAAACAACGACCTCCTTCCGTCACGGGGAGTATATGGTCGCTTTGTCTGCACAGCTTGCAGCTCAGAGCGACCAATGGATTGTCTGGCATTGTTGACTATTTCAGCACTTGTAGGTATATTCTCCTTTGGCTGATAAAAAGGCCGGTCTCCTTTGTTACGTTTAGAAGCTTGGTCCATCATGTTATCTATGATACCAATTTGACAGGATCATATTTATACTGAAATAAAATGATTGCATTGTCATTAGAATTCGAGGTTTTTCAGTCAGTATTCAGGATGTGACCACAATAAGTCTTAGGGTTAAGGGGGACAGCTGTGACTTGTAGGAGGAACACTGGACTGTGGGTGGGGGAAAGGTGGTGGGTAGGGGAGAACATCTTGGAGTGAAGAGATAATGCCACGAAAAGTGTTTGCATAAAGTGCCTATGAAAATTTAGGATTTCTATGGGGAAGAAAATGCAAATATATAACTAAAGTTGTCACTGCAATTATTTGTTAAAAGAAAAAGACAATACATTTAAACTATAGTACATTCATTATTGTTTATGATAAATTTAAATAAAAAAGGTTACCCTTTACACTGAAGTCGGAACATGCACACACTGATCAAGCGAGTAGAATCAACTGTAAAATTGATTTTACAGTAACAGGTGTAGCAGTACTGAGCAGATTATGAGATTGACCTGCTCAGGTAGCTCAGTTATATTAAAGCACCTGTTTTTAGCGAGAGATCCAAGGATCAAATCTCAGACTGGTCATTGCATGTTTTCCTTTAGTTGATCTTAATTGCATGGTCTTTTCTGTTACATTTGGATCCAGTTCTCTTTCCTCCTTCCATAGTCTTTGACCCCAAAGTCCAGTACCATAACTCACCTCCCTCCCTTTTCTAATTCTGACAAAAGAAGCCATTGGCTACTAAAAATATGATGTAGCTACTAAATTGACTTAGTTTTTAAAAATGGGGAAAATCTGTAACTTTGTCCCAGAAAACAATCTGTCTACTCACCTATGTAAACATAAACAGGGCCGTCACCGATCAGCGTGCGCTGTACGACTGCGAGCTAATGCTTTTGTCTAAGTTGTAAAGTCAATTAGCAAGCTTCAGCTGGCAACAGGTGTTATAATTTGTGTTACATTAATGGACAGTGGGGTCAAGTTAATATTGGATGACCCAATGACGTTGAGAAAACAGTCTGATAAGCGAGTCACACACAATATTGTCTAGCACACGTACATTTGTGGACATTTTGTAAGCCAATCTGACCAGTGACCGCCCTGTTCAAACTTCACATCCAACAAATTTATGGGTTAAGTATATCTGAATAAGTGTACATGGTCTTCAATTACCTTTTCCAGTACTGCAGCAAGCGTAAATACGTCTGATATGCTTTATTAAGAAAGTAAGTATCGCCTTGAAACACCATGTTGAAGTGACGATTTATGGCCTTTCAGATCACTTCAAATGAGATTGTATTCGTGTGCTTTCGTGGTTAAACGTTTTCCAATTTCAAGTGATCGAAAAAAAGTTATCTAGCATTGCAGTTATGCAGTTTTTAAAACAACAAACCGTTCAGAATTTCTTCGACTGTCACTTATATTAGGTGCAAATTGATGACACAGGATTGGCCATGTTGCGCGATGTGATGTGATCCGGTTTTATTACCTGAAACTGTGTCATACATATACAAGTGACTTGTATATGTATGACACAGTTTTAGGTAATAATCCCCTTGCCAAGCACAACCACTATAACACAGTATTCCCCTACATGAGAATTAACAACACAAGACCAGAATTTGAACACTGGAAAATGTTTTGACAAACTCTCCAACCAAGATATCATAATCTACCTGGTTACAAGATATATATCAGTTAACAGTGATCCAAGATCTCAGCTTTTCATCAGATATAAAACAAGTCAACAGCAAGGCAAAAGTATATTCATCAGGCTGCCCTGGGCAAGTAGACCTTAGAAATCAACTTGACTGAATATAATTTCTATTTGCCAAAAAAGCAAGTGTTCAAACTTAATTCCTGTGTCTGTATAGGAGAAACACCGAAAACTGTGGAATAGTCAAGATAATGGATAGTTTGAGGCCCGTTTGGGCCGAGAACTATGCATTATCTTGACTATTCCACAGTTTTCGGTGTTTCTCATACTTAAAACATGGCATCATTAAACTTCCACTCCTTGACTATTACACAGTGTATTGTTCAACTATTCCACTGTTCCAGGTAAGCCCTTACCTGTAACTCTCTGACACCTATTCACTTGTTTACCCTCATTATAAAGAGCATGCAGCATGCTTTACATGAAATTTGTGAATGTTTGACAGGCACCATGGTGCTTCTATTGAACCATTTAGTCAGTTTAGTTTTCACTGTTCAACATGGAGGACTCTTCATGCAGTACTAGTGATAATGAAATTGTTCTCACACAAACGAAAACTAACACTAATTTTGACTTCAAAAGTAGTCTTTTTTCGGACATATCAAGTACAAGTGATTTGGAACAGAAACTTATTAAGAACAGAAACTTATTAAGGTAACGCAGGAAGCCAAGCAAAAATTGGAGAAGCAAAATATTAACCCTCAGTTTCAGACTTTGGATGATAATAAAATTGGAAGCCTTCTGAAGGATGCCGCCTCAAAAAAACACTGTGGCAAAATCAGATAGGACAGTCAGTCTTTTTGAGGCCTGGAAGGCTGATAGAAACAAAAAAAGCTGTACAATGTAACAGATCAAAATGTGCAAGAAATGAAAGGGGAACTTTTATGCCTAAAAAAGATATTGATGCAAATTTGGGAAGATTTATAACAGATACAGATGAGCAACTTATTATCGAAAACACTGGCCACATGTCTCCTGCTGTCAGATCTAGAGAATACACAAGTACCAGCCGAAATCAGTTAGAGAGAATTAGTGATCTCTTGCAGGTTGGTGTGAAAAACCGAAGAAAGTGGATTAAAGATGCACAAGTGTTAATGATTCTGTAAATAATTCGCGGACACAAAGGACTGTGAGTTTGTTAAATTATGACAAAAGTACATGTATTGATAATGTAGTTATCTGCCCTTTCTGGATTTATCAAATGTGAGTTTCCTGATGGATTATTGATGATTAAGTATTGTTTCCCATTCAATATCTTTTTTCTAATTAAAAAAATACTGTTAAAGTATGATGTCTTCTTATATTCACCTTCAACTGTGGAATAGTTCTTGGAATAGTTACCTTTTTCTGTGGAATAGTTACAAACTATTTCTCAGTAGTAGGTGATAATAGTAGATTTGTCTCAACTATACTTCATGCAATAACACTAGATGACATCACAGCCATGTTTTAAATGAGAGTTATTTTTATGATGTATGATATTAAATGATAACTATGTATAGCAGTGAGCAAAAACTGTTCCATTCCTTTATCATAATAGCCTAGGGCGAACTGATTAAGTGTAAACCGGTACTAGACTATCAGGCGAAAAGACCTAGTGTGGAGCTACAAAAAAACACAACTACAAGTTTCATCAGAATATTTTGTGTACCATGTACTGTATAGCAAGCATTTCACAGAAAACTACTCCAAAGAAACGTTCCAAAACGGTGGAAACAAGATATTTAATATTAAGTTGTTATGTTTTTACTTCTTTTCTGACGTTGACAATGATCAGCTGTCAGTCATTATTTGCATGAACATGTCCATTCTGAATAGTTACCTATTTCAACTGTAAGCAAGTGCGACACAAGTCAAATGAAACAGAAAAATACAAACCTCCAGTATACCTAACAAACTTCGATTAAATTCTCCAATCGCATTTTTCAGCAAATCTAAACGTTTCCTGACCATAAGATGTGTTTTTATGCTTCTCTTGGAATGTATAGTTCACAACCAAGGGCATGCGCACAAGTTATGTTTGGCACTTCCGTTTTCAAGTTAAATAAAAAAAATACGTCTCTGCTTCTCCTATAGGCCTACAATTCATAACCTCAAATAAATTGTTCAAGATAAACATTAAGAATAAAGGAAAATATTTGCAGAATTTTGTAAGATGTGCATTAATTCGTGAATTTTAAATTTAACAAAATTCGTGAGAGGTTTTTAATTTTTAATATATTTTACCAGGTAGAGTTATCCCTCTTTCTGTATTGCAAACTTCCGGAATATGGAACACACGAGCTGATATTCGTGGATTTCACAACCAAACCGAAAACGGAAAAGAATTGATGGATGTTAAATGGATTTAACAGAAATTTTATCAAAAATAGATTGAATAATAGAAAAACGAAGATGCCAGGTCACTCAAGTAAAAAGCAGTCTCAAAGAACGAAGGGGAATATGCGGGTAAGTTTTTGTACATATGTTCGGCGCGTCTAATTACCCAACACTACCCAATACCACCCAATACCACCCAATACTACCCAATACTACCCAATACCACCCAATACTACCCAATACTACCCCATATGATCCAGTTATGAACCAAATACTTCTTTATTACTGTGAAATATCACCTTTGTAGACGTTATTTACTTCCATCTGCCATATTTTATCGGGAAATATGCGATTTGGTGCCGAAAACATCACCGAATTGCCGTGACTATGACCCAATACTACCC